TCAACAGAGCAAATGTTTACCTGCCGACAGCGTCCTGTCACTTGGTTCACTTCAGGGTGAATGTTTATTTTATAATTTAAGGTTAGAAATGTCTGTTTTTCAACTCACCTTATAGTATTTGTATCTGATCCTGTGCAGACATTGAGAAATTTTAGCTAGACAGTAATTGGTAGTTTGACCAGGACTTGTGGACCTTTTCATGTGTGTGAAATGTGATCAGTCGCTGCTTTTTGTTGTCTTTTCTCTTCTGGGTTTGACCTTTTCTCTGCCTGGCCTCAGTGTGAAATGAACAGATTTGTCAGACCAAAGTGTGACAAAATGATTCAGTAACATAAAGAGACGATCTTATCCCTCATCCCGCAGCTGTGACTAATCCTCATTCAGGGCCTATTTAGTTGTGCTGTCAGTAATTATTAACAGAAGGTTTATGGCTCCATTGGCTGTTTGATCTTCCACTTTGCAGCTTTGCTTTTTCAATTCCAGATTCATAGTTACTTTGATTACTTTGTTGATGGATTACTGAGATGTAAATAGATAAAACAGCAATTCAGAATGAACTCTTATTAAAATGTATGTTAACCAGATGTGGCGCTAAGCTTTCTCTTATCTGTCAGTTTTACTGATGGCATAAAATAATAATCTGATTCTAATCCACTCTATGCTTTTTAAACATGTTCACTAGCATTTAATTTTTATTTGGCTTAATTAATATTCAACAAGCCTAATATCAAGCAAGTAAATGCTTTTTTGTTCACAGCGGCAGTAACTACGCATAAATGGTGAAACTGAACGATTGCACTTAAATTATTAATAATTCACTTACAGACTTGCAACTTCCTCCTGGTCTGCCTGAACCCGAATTGCCCTCTTAATCAAAAAGTTTTGATGTTGATGTAAAGGATGAATCCACACTGGAACTACAAGCACCAGTTCAGAGAGAGTTTTGAAATCTGGGAATATTTCGCCTATCAAAGTAATCAGAAGTCGGCAAGACTTTGAATGAGGAGTTTTACGGTCCTGTAAATTCTTGCAGGAAAAGCTGATTTAATACTTGGAATGTTACATTTTTACAGTAGCATTTGTGCTTTTGAGACTGACTATGCAGACAATTGTAATAAAAACACAGAAGACTGCAATTAAAATGTTAAGTCATCACCCAGCCGTACTGCAAAACTTGAGAATTTCATTCAGCTAATTGTTATGAACTATTACCAGAAACCGCCCCGTAGACTTCTTAAAGCTACGGGTTTCTACCTTATTGAAATATATTTGACTGCTTTTTGTACAAAAGCTGCTTATTTAGGCATTGCTTTGAGTGAGACGAGGTGCTGCAACCAGAACATTGCTGGATTATTTGGTGGTAAATACTTTTCTTTTCTTGAATCCATAGAATTGAATTTCAATTTAAAAAAAATCTTGCCATTTGTTCAGTTGGAACTCTGGAAAAATTTTAAATTAGTCAAAATTAAATGTGATCTGGTAAGCCTATAAAAATGATAAACCTACCTAAAAAGGTGGATTTACAACACTATGATTAGAACAAATCATCTTATGAAACAAAGAAACATTTTAGCACGTAGCTAGCCATAACTATTTTTGCACTTTGCTAAAGGATATGAAATGGGAATTAGATTTTTTTTTTTTGAGTTAAGAGCGCATATTTCCAGGTGACCAACTAGGAAATGTAATTTTGTGGGCTGGAGTTGCTTTCAGAAAAGGACGCCCTTTACCACCTCTGTCATTGGAGCCAATGTTATGCCACAGAAATGTAAACACGATCTCTGTTTTGCATTGGAGATAAAAGTATATCTGAGATGCTACATGCGGTCCTCTTGAGGTGGGATTATTTTTAGATGTGCAAGGTCTCATTGTACCTCTGGTGAGTGATTCCTAGAAAATTATCCGTCATATGATGAATACTTTCTGCTAACGTGTCTTTGTGCGCTTGCCAAGGAAACCTGTTGTCATGTGTTGACCTCCTGACTGGTTAAGTGGACTTCGTTTCTTTTGGCTGCTTGCTGATGCTTTCGCTGCTCTGAGAGCTTCAGGAACGAGGAGAGCAGCGGGAATGCTGGCGGAGAAACTGCATTTTGAGAAGGCATGCAATCATGTGCTCACATGTTGGTGGTGGATAGGGGGTAAACATTTCTTTTTTTTACTTTTCATGGACCACATGCCCGTTTTCTTTGATTTCCTTTTTCTTTCACTAACCTGGCGTCGGTGTGTTTGAGCTTCAGCTGGTGGTGTTCATTTTATTTAATATCTTTTCTGCATTTACAGAATAATTACTCAATGTTCATTTAATGGTGCATGGTGGTAAATGACTCGTTGGACTCGTCGAGTCCGCTTTAATCAAACTCTAGTCAGTTTGGTTTGTTTGGGGGGTTGTGGATGCTTAACCGAACTCTGATGCAGACCAGAAACTCAAACTCTGTCCGCCTTCAAACCTTGATCTCAGTTCTGTTGAATTGAACTGAGGAGTAGGACTCGTCTTTTGTAAAAAACCAAGAGTCATTTCTCCTGCTAACAATAAGCTCACAAGTTTGTTTTGATTATATTTACCCAGAATGCCCTGCGCTGTAGTCTGCCTCCTGCTTTTGGAGCGGTACCAGAGTTCACTTCAACCGAATCAAGACCGATGTTTGCAGGCAGACCAGAGTTAGCTTTTTTTTTGGTCCACATCAGAGTTTGATTACGCATTCACACTTCCCAAACGAACCGGACTTTCTTGGAAAACGAACTTGAATTAAAGCAGACTGCACATGGTGTGAATGCACCCACAGTCATCAGGTTACTGCAACAGTTTGCAGCTGTTTCCAGACAGAAAGCGGTGAAGAAAATAGTTTGAAGTACTTCCCTGGCAGTCCAAGTGGAGGCTAGTTTTTTTTCCAACATCAGCGATTACTCACTGAAGCTGTTGTTGTTTTCTAAATGTTTTTATGATCAATTTAATGAGTCTTTTGCTCATTTTAGAAGAAGCAAGCTGACACCAAGAAGCAACCAAACATGTTGTAATGGGCATTAAGTATTCAGGTTTCTTGCTCTCCTTGTAGCCATACTTCATGCTGGGAATTAAAATGTCAATTAGTAATGATGATGCATCAAAGACCAACTGCACCTACTGGACCAGGACCTAACCGCTGGTGATCTGATCCAAGATGGATGATGTCATGTTTTCTGTGTCCGTGTGAAAGAAATGACTGTAGAAGTGTGTGTGAGAGCTGTATGTGAGGTAGGAGATGCTGTGTGTGTGTGTTGTTGCTGGGTGAAATGCTCTATAGTTAGGTCCCTCCCTCCCTGTCTCCATGTTACCATGGGGACAGGAGGTAGCTGTGTGGGGTATAGCATCACAAGATGCGAGCAGGTTGCTTTCCGTAGCTCTCTGCAGTCGGGTAAACGTCTGTCTCTGCACCATTCTTCCCTTCGCCGTCTGTTGTTTTGGCTTCTTCTTCGTCGTTCGTCCTCCGCTCTGTTCTGTGTTTTGTCTGTTTCTCTCATCTGAAGGACGGTTCACTTTGTTTTCAGTCAGGACGAAGAGCTGAGAGCTAATGAATGAAACTCGTGGAACATCAGACAGATTCACTCCTCAGGCATCCAGATCTGATTGCTTACTCGGTGTGTGTGTGTGTGTGTGTGTGTGTGTGTGTGTGTGTGTGTGTGTGTGTCGTAATGTACGTTTTAAATGTTGTTTTTATTTCCTGTTGCGTTCTGATGTGCTCTTGTCTCTTTTTGTATTTTTCGTTGACATCTCTGCCTGTTTTCTGACCCATCTGAGTGACAGGAGTTAGACCTGCTCTTCGGTGTGTGTGGCTCCTGTCATGCTGGTTGTTGCCCTCATGATTTACCTCTGAGTGTAAAAGAGGCTTCCAGGCAGGGGATGCCGCTGCTTCCTCAGTATTATCGCACTCTCCTGGACGGTGAAACCCCAGAAAAGCTTCCAGATGTAACAGAGAACCATAATTAAATCCAGTGCTGATGAGTAGATGAAGTCTGTCAGTTCCAGCTAAATCTGGATTTATTGTCAGGACTGGCAGGTTAAGCTGTAGCAAACTGGAAACCAAATTATTAAACATATTAGAGGGTTTCCCTCAGAAAACTAGCTGAACCTGGTGGGAGGGTCCACCAGCTACCACACCGTATTTTTGTGTTTAAAAAATGTTAACAAGAAATTTTGGAAATAAAACATCAACGACAAAGAAAATACAACAGTGGACTAAATAAATGAGTCTTTTACTAGTAATTACTGTCATGTTGTCTCACTTGATGTGAAGTTCAGGCTACGTTCACAACACAAATGTGATCCAAGTCCAACTTCTGACTGCAGTCTAAACGGCCCAAATCTGAACTTTCACCTCAAAAATCTGATCCGTGCCGCACATAATAAATTAAAACAACCTCAATAGTTTCCATTTGCACGATTTATTGTATCGAGACTCTATAATTTATTTTGTAGGTTGTTTTGTTTATTTATAATTTGGATATTTAAAATGTCTTCCAGTTCCAGTGTTAAATGTTCATTACAATTTAAAGTTTATTAATCTTTGAGAATGTGTTCTTGCATTATTATACCATTATCATTATATTACTTAAAAATAGCCTCAAAACAACAGTATTACCTTTGATCGCAATACTTTTTAGGACAATTTATCATCCAGCAAAATTGGTTTGAATTGAGCATCAATATCTGTGGTATGAATTTATCCTTAGTAACCAAGACGATAAAGCTCAAGTCATGACTCTCCCGTTTTACTTTTCTCCATCAGGGGAAAGGTACTGTAGTTTAGAAACCTGTGGTTCCCTCTGCAATAATGACAGTTTAGTCTTTATTGTGCATAAACTCAACAGCTGTTTGAAATTATCTGTAAACATTTGCCTGGTTCCCCTTTAGCTCTGCTGACCTAACAGTCCTTAACACCAGGAAGTTTGGTCATGTTTATCGGGATTTCAACCCTGTTTTACTGCCTCCCTGGTTCTTAACCTGCTGTGTTTGTGTGTTTCAGTTCTACCTTCAGGACACTAAAAGCAGCAACGGGACGTTCATCAACAGCCAGAGACTGAGCCGCGGGTCCGAGGAGAGTCCGCCCTGCGAGGTTCTGTCCGGCGACATCATTCAGTTTGGGGTCGATGTCACCGAGAACACACGGAAAGGTTTGTGCAAACATGCTGTGATGCCCACTGATGGACTGAAAGACAACGCTGGTCCAGTTAGGGAAAACCAGACGCCTCCTGGAAACCTACTGTTACATTTTCCTCTGTTTTTTTTTTTTTGCAAACGGAGTCCAAATATACACCCTGAAAAATACTTAATGGTGGCTTAGGGCTAATTTAACCATGCAACACAGCAGCACAAGGCTCATAACAAAGCGCACATATTAAGGTCAGATTTTCAGCTCTACATACTGTATTACTAATCCAACCTGCAGGACTGCAGTCCAGAAATACACTTACATTTTGGGCCCAAAATAAAATAAAAACATAGGAATATTTATTAAATCAAATTTACAACCGTCGTTTATTATTATTATTATTATAATTATTATTTAGGTTTTGTTATGTCCAGCACAAGACGAAGCACAGATGGTGCAGGCTCTGTTAACAGCTCTGCATTGTGGCATTTTAGTATGTTAGAATAAAGAATAATTTTTTCTATTCAAAACAAGGATTTATTTATTTTTTTAACATTAGTATGAGCACATTTAACTTAAAACGAACAATTTATCAAAAAAGATGTGATTGATTCAGTTTTATGCGACTGCAAGTATATTCAAAAATGAACGGAGACTCAAGGACTGGAAAATTGATCTAATATAACTTCTGCTGCGAGGAATGACCATCAGGTAATGCTCAGATTCTGTTGGTGTTTACTGTACATATTTACAAAATATCTGCATTAACTACAGTAATGCTTTGAGCGAACCTTAAGTTTTATTATGATATTTTGCATTACTATTGTGATAATAAATGATCACATTTTGTTTCTTTTTTTTAGTGAACTGTGTGGCTAAAAATATACATAGACTTTACACAGCAGTGCACTGTTTACAGAAGTAATGATGTCTGGATGGAACCGTTAATGAATCAGAGTTATCCAGCAGTGAGATTCAACAGCATTGTCACAAGATCAGATAAAGACAAAGGAAGTTAATAAAAAGACAACGCCACAAATGGCAATCGCATCAGTGACGCGAAAGTCGGATAAAATGCAACATGACCTTTCAGGATATAAGATATGAATGCAATGTTGTTCCACATATGAAAGTGCCGCAACTTAGATTTTTTTTGTTGGGTGAAAAATATTGGAATCGGGTCGTTCAGACTGATATGAAAAAATGGACATGGATTTCATTTTCCTGCTGTGTGAACGTAGCCTAACTGAAGCAATTCACACCTGAATCAAAAAGGGAGAATTACTGTCATTGCAGGGATGGAAACTGTGGCTGAAAATGTAGCACAATATATCATATCGATATCGATAATTATTGATTAGTTCTTTTGTTTTAAATACGTGAAGCCAAACTGGTGGCACAACCTTTCCTGTTTTATCCAGTTTTCACTACATGCTGGTGTTTTTTTATTTTTTTTTTTATTTTTATGAGGCACAGTGATGACACCTTAAACTGCTACAGTGCAAATTACTCAACATGCTGTTGCTAGGTAACCACAAGATACTCAGCAGGTTGTTGCTAGGTAACCACAAAATGAGCGAGTGAGTTGATGCCACTAATCTTAGTTGGCTGTAAGATGCTGATCATCCAAAGTTTTTCCTCTGCCTACATCCCCTAGAATGCTGTGCGGTTCTGGGTCAGAATTCAGTGAAATTTAATATTCTATCAATATATTATATATTGATATTGATCAAGTGTCTTTTGCGATATATATTAATGATTCATTGTCCAGCCCCACTACATTGAGTGTCAGCAGGTTTAGCTGAAAAATGAGTCAGTCGTTTAGTTCAGGTGTATTGGAGCAGGGACGTACGCTACAGTTGCAGGACAGCAGCGCTGGAGTTGCAGAACAACGTAAAACGGTCGTCATGTCTGCCAGTGACTCCGTTATGCTCGTTAGTAACGCGGCTGTCTGTGTTTCTCTGTCCCCAGTCACCCATGGCTGCATCGTGTCAACAATCAAACTGTTTCTGCCTGATGGGATGGAGGCCCGCAGACGAAGCGAGTAAGTCACCGTTACCCTCCTAAAGGATTTAATGTTAAAAAATATATAACAATAACATAAGATTTGGATTGAGTGAACCAGCAGCATAGAAAAGGTTTTATTGCTTTATGTTCTGAGGTAGAAGTTGTTCTATCCTCTGCCAGCACAGAGATGTGATGAGCAAACCTTAAAGAAAATTTATATCCAATTAAATTTTGAGCATGACAGTAACTGTATAAAACGGTATGAAATGTGGCTCATGAGTTTTTAGCATGTTTGTGTTGTTGTACAGTAAGATGGGCTGTTCCTGAGCAGCAGCCGACCCAGCATGATGCTTCCTACTGTACTCACAGCTCCACCTGTCTGTCTGTGTCTGTTTGGCTTCAGTTGATGCCGTGTGTGCACAGGTGATCCAAGGTTACAGAGCGGTGGTGTGCAGTGCCATCTGCTGCTGCAGCGTCAGTAGGAACTGAATGAAAAATGCTTTTATATCGCCGTCCTGTCTGGTCAGCATGGCCCACCGTTAAAAACAGACCAGAGATGATGACCTGATGTCTTCAGTATTTGAGTATTTGTGCAACAGCATTGTGTTGCAAGCAATGTGTATCGGATTGCATTGGTGGATTTTAACAATAGAGTTATGGCTTTTCCGCAGATTTAAAGGTCTCTACTGAAATAACACCTTTTAGTTTCTAAAAATGTTACCTTTTGATGTGCTTACTCACATTAACACACCTGTGATTTTACATGTCATCCATATAATGAGATGCCTGGCTTTCTCTAAAATCCACTACAGAGCGAAAGCTTTGATTAGCATGATGGGAACCGTAAGAGTCTGAAGATCTCCACTGATTCTTCCACTTCAACGATTTAGATGATTTAAAGTGCAACACATTGTCTGGTAGCTTTAACTGTGACTCGTTACAGCAGAGGCAAAGAGTACAAATAAACTTCAACTACAAAACATTAACTACCAACTACAACACCAAAACAGAGTCTGATAGGATGTTTATCGAACGGAACAAGTGTTAATTTAATGAACCATTAATTGACAATCAATCGTAAGTCGTTTACGTTTCATCCCTAATTTCGACTTCATCCTCTTATTGTTTCGGCTTTATTTTCCAACTGTTTTGACTTCATTCTCATAATATTACGACTATTCTTTTTGTTTTACAACTTTATTCTCTAATTACTTTGACTTTATTCTGGCGTTATTACGACTTATTTCCGTATTACTACAACTCATCATATTAAGACTTTTTTCCTGCATTGATTCACATTTATTCTCCTATTATTGGGACTTTTTTCTCAGATTGTTTTGACTTTTTTCTAGCATTTTTTACTCCCATTCTCATATTGCTACAACTTCTTTTAATTTCAAATGCCTGAATTTTCTTAGTGTGGCTCTAACACTCAGTCATAGACATTCATGACATTATGGAGTCCAGTCGAGTAAATTAAATAATTTAAGTCCTTATCCAGAAACGTAATGCTACAGTTACTCAACATTAACTGCCTCAGTTTATCTGCTGTCATATATTTAAATCATATATTTATCATTTGTTGCTAAAGTAGACTAAACTTGGACTCCTGACTTGTTGATGGTTTCATTGTGGTTCCCAACATTCATATTTAGACCAAACGGGTCATATGGCATAAAAAGAGATCTGCAGCAGCCAGTACAGTCATTATAAATGATGGAAAAGCTTTACATCGTCAGCAACAGCCTCAATGCCTCAGATCAGCAAGATGATACAAAAACAGGCTGAAATTGTTACATCAGACTGAAACGTTGTGTGACCACATACATCTTTATTATGGATTTATGTCTAATGCATAACATTTACTGTGAAGGTGGAAGCCGATCAGAAAACTAATCAAACAGAAATCTCCCTTTGTGATTCCATATGAAGCTTTTTATCTTGTCAAAAGAATATTCTGAAGATGCTGGGTTCACCAGTTTTTATCAAAATAAGGCCTCAACTAAGTTTTCCCCTTGGAATCAAGAGCCTCCAGCCTTCTCCATTCAGCCGTTGTTTTGTTCCTGATTCTCTCTCTGTCTGTTATCGCCGTCCATATTTCCTCTAAACACGCCCACATACCTGAGGTCATGTGACCAACGCGGATGTTTCGTTTTCAGGTGACTTGTTCTCTGTGAGGCGAGCAGAGCTCACACAGCGAAGGATTGTAAGGAAAACTGAAAGATCTTTGCCGGAGTTGGTGCTGCACAGACGGGGAGGAGTTTGTGCAACTAGTTTGAGTTAAAGGAGGAAGACCTTGGTCATCAGCGGGAGGAGCAGACTATAAATAGAAAGACAGGTTGTGTCACTGAGCGTCTTTGCGGCTCGGCTGTTGAAAAGTAGAGACAAATTATCTGCCCAGGACGAGAATGAAGTGTTGTGTTGGAGAATGAAGCGAAACGAGTTTATTTCCCAACTGCTGTAAGGCTAGAGGGTGAACTTCGCCCTGTGAAAGGTAAAACAGCTGACACACGCGCGCGCGCACACACACACACACACACGCACACACCCTGACACAGGAGCAAAAGTTGACAGGTAACCTTGGATTACTTCAGAGCCGAACAGGTTGGTGCTTTGTGTGATTTGTTTGTGTATAATCTCTTCACATGTAAGAAGGCTGTTGGCAGCCGCTGTTTGTTTGCTCGCTTTGGGTTTTATTAACGCTGGCGGACTGGAGCTGAACGTGCAGCAGGACTAACAGGATCCTGTAGTTTCTGCTGCAGATGTGTGTTTTTTTAAAGACTGGCTTATTCAGCAGGTTTGTTTCAGGCCTTCAGCAGACGGGAAGCGTTTTTAAGGAGGTTCTTCTGTCAAAGATCACTGTTATTTAGACAAAGATTAAGCTGCAGTTAATTCACTGCTGGGGTTCTTCTATGTGGTGGATCCACAAGTTCTTCCTGTTTGGAGAAAAAAAAGGTTTATCCTCAGGTTTTTAGGTTTGGTTTTTAGTTTCCGATGCTGATTATATGAAATTCAGATCCATTGACTGACAGTTTTTCTCCATAGTTATTAATTTAATTGTGATGAATCAACCAGTGAAATAATAGTCAGCTAATTCAGTAATTGATTAATTGCTAACTGCAGTATAGACTCAAAAAAGGCCATTTGCTGTCAGAACAACAGACTCGGATCAGCAGTTAAATCTGTACAAAATCATCTATACATTTTGCATTTAAGCTCAAAAATCTTTTGTCTGTAAATCTGTTTTACCCAGAACTCCTCAAGTTTCAAGTGGCTATTTTAGCTTCACCTGATTCAAATTCTGTAAAAAAACAACAAAACAAAACCCTCCTATTTGCTATACTATTAGTAATCAGTTAATCAAATAGATAATCACCCGATTCACCCTGACAAGTCCAGCAGAAAGGACTTGAATTTTCATGTTAGAAGTATTTTTTAGCTGCAGCTGCATCCTTTGCTACAAATGATCAGCTATTCACTGCAGGAATGTTATGTTGTTGCACTTTAGAAAAAAAAATTATTACCGGAAAAAGGAACTGAATTGTGTATTTGTGTCTTTTTATGTATTCCTAATATTATATTAAATAAGCCCTAAGTGGCTAAATGAAAGAATGTGCTAATATTTCCTATACTATTATCTACTGTTTAAATAATCATTAGTTTATTGTTTTCTTTTTACCCTGAGATGATAGTTTGTCCAGTTTCTTTAGGTTGCACTAATAGACTGAAGCTTGTTATGCCGTTTCTTGTGGCTCATATGGATGGATCACCTTTACAAATCTCCTCATTATGCATGATAAACATGAGCTGCTGTCTGAGATTTCTGATTGAGGGTTTCATCCAGTAACCAGTGGAAACTGGTGCCCTGCTGATCATCTTCTGGATTCTGTCTGCAGCAGCTGCAAGTCACATCTCACTGTTTCTGCTGCTTATGCATTTTTTTTCAGTTTTTACTTTTCTGTCACACTTAAAGGGACAGGATTATGTTTTTCTGACACATAGTTACTTGATTATGCTATAAAATGTCGGTATACTAGCTGAATGGTTGCAATGGAGATTAAAGGATTTCTCAAACATGCATGAAAGAATCAAGGCCACAATCCGGGTATTTTTTTGATGAGGGAGTAAGATTACAATGTGATGTAAAGCTCAAAGTAATTTTTTTTTTCCATTAAAAAATGTTAATTCCAACAAAGAGTAAATAAAATATCTGGATAATTTAAAAACGGGCCAACCTGAACCTTTGTGAAGCCACAAATGAACTGTGATTAGCCTGTTTTTAAAGTTTTGGCACAGTTAAACAGTCAGGCCTCTTAAATGGAGCCCGTCTGACAACATGAAGTAGGCTGGATGATCTCACTCATCCTTCTGGAAATATTTTCTGGAATAATGAGAAAAGTGGAACTTTCAGGAGAGCATTAAAACAACAGCATCAGTAGTTCCTCCACTCTCTCAATAATGTGTTCATTGGAAGCAGAAACACTGAGTACTAAGTGGAAAAAAGTGAATTACATGATGTACCATCAGTCTGTTCCTTCTTTAATAGTCTCTGGAAATGCAGTGTTACTCTGAAATATGATCGTTAAACCTTCTTAAAATCATTTTGGAAGTATGCGAGCGTCCCAGATGGAAACACCCAGCAGTGTTTTCCATCCTGGGTGTCTGATGGACTGCATGCAAAACACTTGAGCTGGATCAGATGTGGATGACTGGTTCCTGTGGGCCGGCTGCAGGCTTTCTGTTTGTGTGGGCTGCGCCGACGTTCTGCTGAGCTGCACCGACGGCCTGTTGTGTGATGGATCCTGGCTTTCTTAGTAAATGTGTTGTTTGGGATCATCGCCGGTCTGATCTCTGCAGTCGGTGTTTGATAACGTTATGATTCAGGCTGAACACCTGCAGTGAAGCTTTATTTATCCTCCAGAAGCATCTGGAACATGACATCACTGTTACTATATAACTAAGGTTAAAGCCATTATTGAAATAATCGTCCACTTCTTAAGTAATCGATTAGTCATTAAGTCGAGCATACAGGCTCTAAAAAAGTCAATTTACTGAAAGAACAACATGTTCAGAAGAGTAGTTAAGACAAGGCCGTACAATATTTTGCATTTAAGATAAAAAATGTTCCTTGTCTGTTTAATATCTTTTAACCAGAACTAAAGTGGCAGTTTGGCTTCACTGGGTTCAAATTCTGCAAACAAACAAAATATCTCCTATTAATCACCGTTTTCTATCCATTTATTAATTAATCAAATAAATGGTCACCAGATAATCTCCATATTGTATTAAGCCAAACAGAAAAGGCTGAGTGTTTCACATGTTGATGTTAGAATTATTTTTTAGCTGCAGATGCATCCTTTGCTTCAAATGACCAAGCGTTTGCTAAAAGAATTTGGTTATTGCATTTTGGGCAATAAAATGTTTTTCTTATTTAATAATCTATTTGAATTATACGTTCATCTTTTAATGTATTTCTAGCATTGTAAAAAACTCTTATGTGGAATTACTGCAGAATGTGGTTGTTTATCAGATTAATCGATTGTGATAATAATCTATTACTAAAACAATCATTAGTAGAACATTAACATTTTAAATGTTAAAATGATTTTAATTGATGTCTGTGGCCTAATTTATGGTGACAGGCCTACTTTCCGCTCAGATTTCCATTTTGACAGCAGGTCTGCGTTCGGAGGCGTCTTCATGACGTTGCTCCTGCAGAATGCAACTTAAACTGGGCAGAGGGCTTCAGCAGCTGGTTAATTAAGCAATGTAGCTTAAAAAACAAACTATAAGATCACAGTTTAACTTTTTTTATATATACCATTTCAGATGAATTCATTCTGGATATGTAGGTGGATGTTTGCATTTCTATCATAATCACTCAGTAGCTTTGAGATAAAACTCAACCTGCTTTACTTTAAGTGATTCTCCTTTTCTACACACGTTGAATGAAGTTAGTAAAATATTTGGTTCCTGCTGCTGTTCACACCTCTCCTGCTTTTACCAGAGTTGCTGTATTTTGTCCAGAGTTCAGCCTTCATTCTCACCTCTTTAAACATAACAAAAACTGAGCGTCCCTCCATTCCCTTCTTCATGGTCATTTATAGGTCTGTCATGATAACAAATATTGCTGAACGATAAATTGTCCCGGATGTTGTTGTGATAAACGATAATATTGTTGTTTTGAGACCATTTTCAAGAAATATAATGTTAATGACATAAAAATGCAAGAACACATTCTGAAAGATCAGTAAACTTTAAATCCTACTCAATATTTAACACTGTAACTAGAAGACAATTTAGATATCAGTATAAATAAAACAGCAGAAACAACAAATAAAATTAACTGTGAAGTCTCTGTAAACAAAATTGTCCTTAAAAAACGACTAGCAGAGACCGAAACACCAGACTGAAGAGTTTTATCAACCAGTTTTTGGTAGAAAGAGAGAAAAGAGAAAAACAAATTATACAAATGGAAACTCTTGAGCTCTTTTCAATTGATCATGCGAGTGATTTATTGTGACAGGCCTAGTCATTGGGTGATTGGTCCACCACAGAACCAAAGGGACAAAAACACATTTCTGTTCAACCATGGTGACAAAATCCAACATGGCTGCTGCACAAGAAACTAAAGATCTGTTTATTCTGACTGCTTCTAGCTCATTAAGTCAGTCAGGAAATATATATTTTTGTGTTAAAAGTTTAATTGTGTAGCTCCATAAACAGTAAGGTTGATTTTCACCATTATCATCCTGAATTTCTGGTTTGAATGCAGATCAGTGTGCGGTGAATCTCCAGAAATCATTTCTTTAGGTCTCTCTGTTTCGTTCGCGTTCTTGTAAATGTTGTAAATCAATGCTGGACTTTACCTTCACTAAACTTTGTCAGACTAACGTCAGTCATTGATCTTGTGTGGATGTGTGTTGAAACTCCCGAGGCGTTTCTGTGTGAATGAAGCGTCGCTTTCATCTCTGAGCTTCACGGCGTTTTAAGGGGAGCCTTCAGCTCAATGACTGTGTTTCAGTGATTCTGCATGGACCAGAGCGTGGAGCGGCCCGTCAGCCTGAGGCCCGTTCAGCTCCTCTGTGTGCTCTGTTCAAACATTTATCCAGACTCGGACCAATCCGTTACTCAAAGCAAATCGGACATGATGCCTTCATTAGACAAGGCGCTGTGATTTAACCACTGCAGTAGCTTTACTACTGTTGTACTTTAGTTAAAAAAGGACCTTCAGAAAGTTGTTGTTCCCCTGTCGCTGTGGTTACTCCATGTATCTTTACTTCCTGCTGTTTCCATGGTGTTAAACCTTTTTCTCTTCCTTTTCAGTGTCATCCAGACTCCTTTACCACTACCTATAGACAAGGTAAGACCAGAAATCGCTGTTGTCCTGTCCCACGTGTTGTTTTATATTTAAATGTGAAGAAAGGGACCAGAACAAAGCAGCTAAATGTGTTTAGCATTAAACTTATTCATCAATGGTGCTTGCTCTGATTTATTGTGGATTAGTTACTTGATAGAGGAATGCAGGTCCTTCTCTTCACATTTTTCTCAGTATGTGGTTGAATTTTCTGTCTGTTCTCCAATACTAATACAATCTATTGTAAGCAAATAAATGTTTGGTTTGAACTGGGCTTCCTGAAAAATTTTATTTTTCAGGAAATAAAATTCCCTGTTGCGTCAGCGGCCAGTTTGTAGTAAAACCAGTAGTTTAATGTTTTTCTTCAGATTTATCATTTACATAATGTCTTCTGCCAGAAAGTCATGGTCAATAAACAGCAACACATCCACACCTAAAGGCTGATGGGGAAAAACACAAGGCTGCAGACAAACTCAGTAACTATTTTAAATAAAATAAAGTACAAGACGGAAGAGTTTCTGTCGTTGTATTTGTGCAGACATCAGATATAAAGCAGTAATTTGCATCTCTGTGCAAACGGAGTTAATTTTATTAATTTTAGATAGTTTACACCTTTGATAAAAAGCAGTAACTTGTGCTGTGTTCACATAGCAGGACATTGTGACCCAAATTTTACTTTCTCACAACAATTCTGAACTTTTTATCCAAGAAAACTGTAATTTGTGTCACTTCCATATGTGGATCTAAATCGGACGCATTTCTGATCATTTTCTAAGCGTCTGCACTTAGAACAGTCCTGTTGCGTTATATCCAATTTTATAATGTGTCATAATTCTGCACCAGAAGGAGCCAGGCTCTGTAAATCTAGATGTAAACTATGGCTAAAATAAGCACATTTACCTTTTTATTAGTTCACCTCATCTTGTCATGAGCTTGTGACAATAATGTCTGCTCTGAATAATTTCTGTGATGTCTGTTTTTCTTTTGTGCATGTAAACCGTTCACACAGGAGTCTAATTGTCGTTACATTTAATTATTAGCATGAACAACCATGCAAAAAATAAAAGATCTAATTTCAGCAAAATGTTGGGACATAGCCATACTGTATCCAGTTATTTAAACGAAATTTAGTTCCCTCATGTAGATTATATCAAAATAATCTCAAAAATATTTTTACTTTTATTTAAATTTGATCCAAGAGCAAAAGGAAAGGCTTGAAAAAAAAAAACCTTTTAATATTTTTACTAAAAGGAAACATCTGGCATTGAGTTATTAATGTAGATGCAAAAATAATTTATAAAGTGGAACAAATTGGATTTACTGAATTAAACACCAACTCAGTTTTAGAAAAAAAAATAAGAGCAGAATGAAGAGTCAGCTGCTGGTAAATATTTAACAAATTATTCTTGGTTTTAAAACAAAATATATATCTGATTCTCATTTTCCAGAGAGAATGCTGAATGACTCAAAGTTGGGACTAAATGTTTTTAACTCGACCATGAAGCTTTTATTCTCTGTACTTCTGCTCTGAAATGACACTTCTGCAATTTCCTCCACTTTAGTTTTGTCACGAGTCTCTATTAAATAAAAATGAAGCGGCTAAACGAGCTCCACAGTCAGTCCACTGCATTCTTTGGTTTCTGCTAATAAAACAAGTTTTTCAGGCTGCTTCTCCCAGCTCAGACAGACAACAAACTGCTCGTCTGCAAAACTCAGCCTGCTTCCTATCAGCAGGATAATACAGCCTTTCATAGGTTTGTTTTGTCATCAGTGGCTGAACAGAAACGGTTAACATCCTACAACAATTACATAAAGCACCAATTTACAACACAAGGCGGTTTCTGAGACAAATTTAAGCCAATTTCATTCCAGATTCTACTCCGGTTTTATGAATTTTCATTAGGAAATCAACTCTATGGCCCAAAGACTAGATGCAGACATTGTTGTGTTTGGTAGCAGAAAAGAAAATGCATAAAAATCACTCAACATTCCTTTTTTGATGACCCCACTCACATTGAGGTTGGTAACACATTGAAATGGAAAACGACCCAAACTTTTAGAGACAAGTCGAGTTTAGTCGAGAAGTTACTAACAGCAAGGAACCATTATATGCAGGTATATATATATATATGGTGTGAATGAATAAATGCATAAATATCTATATCTATATATATATAGATATAGATATATATAGATATATATATATCTATATATATATAGATATATATATATCTATATATATATATAGATATGTATATATCTATATATATATAGAT